GTAAACAAGATGAGCGACTTAGCCGAAATTGGGGGATCTTCTCTTTTCTTTTACGTATAGCACCCTTGGGAAGCATTTGCACACTCATTGCCATAGAAGAACATTGAAGAGTTTGTATTGTTCTATCATTTCATGTAGGTTTTATTACCCAACTCTGCCACTACCTTATACAACATATTGTCCCATTATTCTAGTTTCATTTTATTACTATTACGTCTTTTGGTAATAACATTGTGCGCATGCGCGTTTTCATCGGGAGATTTGACAGGCCGTGCGACGCCATTCGTTGAGAAACGCCGGTGATAAATGTTTCAATTTAAGTGCTGCATCGACTTCAGATCATTTCTAAAGCCATACTTTGGATATACAGGACAAATAGACATTATTCTCAATTTAAGCCTGATATTTTAGCCAAACAAGTGCCTCAAATGTTAAAAAAATTACAAGCCTAGGAATTCGGACCATAGACGGAAGCGAAGAAAATTTCGGTCTTTCGCTATATAAAGTTATGCGGTTTTACCCTGGGGATTCAGGGGGCAGAGCTTCTTCGCTAGGGAATACATAGATTATATTTTCCTAAAGTCACGGGAGTCCAGGTTAGCCTTGGTTAGGCTAGGCAAGGCTAGGTTAGGTTTATAAATTACTAGATCACCCAATAGGCGCATATAATACCACGGGGGTCCAGGGGTCAGAGCCCTCTGTCTAGGGAACATAAAGATCGTAGTGTCTAAATCCCACAAGGTTAAGGTTAAGTTGGTTTATTGGTTAGGACGCATTGTACGATTACCACGGGGAATCTGGATCATGTGAAATCCAGTAGATATTTACCGTGATTAATGGGTTTGATCCTTTTTTTTCGAAAGTTGGCGCATCTCTGAGAGGGAGGTCTGCGCTCAGTAACAATTACCATACATAATAAGGGATACTTAAGTCTGCTACTAATAAATATATTAGAAATAGGGGTAAATTTCCAGTTTCATCCAGCCTTCGACTTTCGAAACCATTTTTTTGGAATGGAATCTCCCCTCGTAGTTACATGCTGTTCTGCTGTTGCTTCCCTTCGGATTTGATTCTTTGACGAGTGACGCAACTTGTATTCCCCGACAGCAAAGTTGATAAAATGTATAAGATTCGGCTTCGCACTGTATTTTGAGGAGGAATTAGCATGATTTACACACATGAAAACAGAACAAAAACGCTAAAATAACTTTAAGTCGGCTTTGCTGAAACTCTACGGGGTGGGAGTCATGTTTCACCTATACAATTACGGTATACAATTCGGCGGTTAAATCCGGGATTATTTTTGCCTGATTGACGCACAACAAACGCATTAAATCAAGATTGGACAAAAGCAACTTTATAATATGAAAATACGCTTCCTGATGACCATATTAAACTTGTGCATAAGGCTTCATTAATTGTTCCTCAAACAGCAACGGTATTTTATTGGTTGATTGCGTTAACAAATACTACAAAGCAAAGTAAACAGAATAAAAAAGCGCTATTGACAATTATGTGTTGCGCCATC